TTTTGTTGTTCAACCACTCCGTTATTGTAATCGCCCTTTGTGGCTAGTTTGTTTTGGCCTCTTGTGGCTAATGGCTTTTTTGGCTGAATTATGAATGCAATCCTAGAATTTATCAACACAACAATACATTGCATGGTAAGATACATGAGTGACTTAGTATCAGATAGAGCTCCTATGAGATTCAAAATTTTCATTGTCTTCATCATTTCTATGTGTAGAGTATGTGTACTATGAAGAGTAGTTATCAAATGATAAATCCCCAAAATAGTTTTGCATGTAATTATTAACATGTCGCCCATATGGATCCGAGATTGGTTGATGTTGCACATAAAGAAAATCATTTGAAGATTGGGTCTTAGATTCTTTCCATGAGCTGCTCAATTCCATCACAAAAGGCATCGAATCCCCTCATGTGCGCACATGCGATTGTATTTCTTTTTTCTTTTTTCATTCCATGTACATATCCTAATATTTTCGATAATATAGATAATATCTGATATTTTGTCCATATGTTGATGAAGAGAGAGCAAAATCCTCGAATATGAAATTTCCTCGATATTATTGCTGAAATTATCAATATTTATATGATAATTGCATAGATAGATTTCAAAATATTCTCCTCCCAAAAAAACGATAATATCCTCTATATTCGTGGATATTATGCCGACAAAGGAAGCCACATGTAAATGAATATTTTGTGGAAACGGTTTGTATTTCCAAAATGAAGGCAAATTACTTTGTCAAATCCCGTGCTGCAACTTTGCCTTTTTATAAAGTTAAAAGCAAATGGACAATACTAGGTTGCACCACCTACTTTCTCAAGAAAATGACATGACATTGACATATATTGCACACAATTAATAAAGTGTTTTCTTTAAGGCATTTGCCTCAGCCCAAATGTTTTCTTCCTTTCTAAGCTCTCTAAATAAGTGCAAGACATCTACAATGTCGGCTGACCATAGCAGCACCAGGGTGCCACTGGTTGGAGATGCTATTACATTTTATAAAATCGGAATAAAATGTGCGTGCAGTAGGGATGATAATTTTCTTCGTGTGTAAGAGTCTTCGTGGGGTTTCAACCCTAATGGGTCAGGTATGAAAGATAAAAAAAACAGGTATGGGGATAGGTCCGGGGAATTTTTCAAGTATGGTGTTTGGGAAGGGGTTGGGATGGTATTCTGATCCCCAACCCAAACCCTTCCCATTTAGAATATATATAATTTATTTTTCATATAAATATATTAGTAAGATGTGTGATGGTGATGCTACCTCTATAATGATGATCATGTCTTTGAAATGTAGTTTTGACATGTATTAATTTTTTTTAAAATAGTCTAGAATTTTAGTTAATAGTGTTCTTTTCGTGTACAACAAACTAGCTTTTTATTGGTTTTTTTTTTTTTTTCCCTTAATGGGTAGGGTCGGGAAACCCATTCCCAAGCAAAGGCAGGGATGGGGAATCCTTGTGGGTATGAAGGCGGGGATGGGGGAAATTTTTTTTAACGGGGATGGGGATGAGAATGACATACCCACCCCCGATTCAACCCATTGCCATCCCTAGCGTGTTGGCAGTGGTGCCTTGAAGTTGAACAAAGTGTTTTTATTTAGTGAATCTTCATAGCGTTATAATTGACGCTCCAAACTTTAGGCATTATTTGCCCATATTTATAATCTTTTAAACCAAGTGGCCCACCAAGCAATGCTTTGGGCTTTGTTACGGGTGTGTTTTTAATTTCTAATTGTTAAATTTGTTACAGGAGCACCAATGAAGAGAGAGAAACTCTCATGCAACGGGGAGAGAAACTTTCTTGCTATCTCCGTTACAAGAAAGACTTTTCTTTTTTTCCAATGGAGGACGTCACTTTCTATAATTTATTATTATTTTATTTATGCCTTTCTCTTTTTTTTTTTTTTTTTGGTAGACTAGAGGGGAAAAACCCCGAACACAACAACAACTACAAAGAAACAGGACAAATTAATCTAGCTTTCGCTACACCAGTGATATCATCAAGGAGAAGAGAACCAATCCAAGCAGGAGCTTCGTCAAAATAAAGGATGCCCAAGTCTAAGTTATAGCTCCAGTTTGCCAATTCGTTAGCCACACTATTTCCTTCTCTATAAATATGAAGGAGGGTGCAATTATCAAAGAGCTTCATGGTAGCACAGCAAGCATTAATCAGGGGAGCAAAGGGGTGGTGGGCCAAGCCATCAACATTCTTAACTAAATGGACGACCACAGCAGCATCCATTTCAATATTAAGGCAGGTTATACCTTTAGTCATAGCAAGCTTAAGACCAAAATATAATCCCCAGATTTCAGCATCCAAAATATGGCCCTTGCCAAGGTTCACAGAGAACCCACCCATCCAATTACCAGAAGCATTGCGAATCACACCCCCAGCCCCAATACAACCAGAGGAGGTGCGTCTTGACCCATCAACATTAAGTTTAAACTGAGCAGGGCCAGGGGGTTTCCAGGAGATGAAAGAGTGCACCTTATCCACCTTAGCCACAGTAGCAAGGGAGGCTTTAACCCAGTCCTTAGCAGCAGAGAGAATTGTTTGTCTTGGATTAAAAGGACGATCCTCTTGGTTGTTGAAAATCAGTTGATTCCGCCATTTCCATATATACCAACAGGTGTACATAAAGGTAGTGTTCCAGTTCAAGCTGCCACTCTCCTTGGATGAAGGACAAAGATTGCTTAGAAGCCAAGGTTTAAAATCAGATCTGAAAAAATGAGGGGGAGCGTTGGTAGTCAAAGTTATCCTCCAAATCTCCCTGGCTCGTGGGCAGTCCCTGAGGATATGGAGAATAGACTCAGTGTGCCAACCACAAGCTTTACAGGAAGGATCCCCAGTTAGCTGCCATCTCATTCTTTGCTCATTGGATAACAATTTACCATGAAACATAAGCCAGCAGAAGAACATCAACTTAGGGGGAATCTTCATTTTCCAAAGAACTTTCCAAAGATGGTCAACCTCTCCAAGATCAGTAAAAAGCAATCTGTAAGCAGAAGTGACAGTAAAAGCACCATTCGCAGTGGCACTCCAAATCTGGTCATCCTGAGAGTCGCTATCACAGTCAACAGGATAAGAAATGATCTTTTGCACTAAGTCCTCAGAAACCACAGTCCTGAGTTTATCAATATTCCACCACCCATTTAGTAAAAAACTGGAGATATTGCACCCCATGTCTCGCATATCAAGAGCTCCTTCATGATGCATAAGAGGACTATCACAAATCCAACTATCTTTCCAGAAATTAGCCGTCTCACCATTCCCAATTCTCCAATTCATGCCTTTGGCTAAAAGATTGGAGCCATAAAGGACGCCCTTCCAGGTGGAGGAACAATTATGTCTAGTTTTCAAGGTCTGCTCAAGAATGGAATGACCTTTTAGGTATTTGGCTTTGAAAATTTGAGCCCACAGACCGTGGTCATTGATGTGCAGCCTCCAACCAATCTTTGCAAGGAGAGCTTTGTTCATATCAGCAGTTTTCTTAAAGCCCAGACCCCCAAAACATTTTGGTCTGCAAGCCAAATTCCATTGGCAAAGATGTATCTTCTGCTTCTTTTCAGTGCCACCCCAGAAAAAGTTCCTATTCAGACGATCAAGATTGTTGCAAGTATTGGCAGGTAACTTAGTAGTTTGCATAGCATAAACTGGGATAGCAGCAGTCACTGCTTGAATTAAAGTAGCCCTCCCTGCATAAGAAAGCAAATTACATTTCCAGGCAGCAAGCTTCTTCTGGACTTTATCAACCAAGCTCCCATAGGTGGCCTTAGTAATTCTAGAATGCAAAAGAGGCATGCCCAGGTACTTACCCAGGTTGTCAGTTATAGGAGAACCACAAATTTGGCTGATCTCATGGGCTAACTCCTTACTAGTATTTGGGGAGCAGAAAATAGAGGACTTCTCAAAATTCACAGTTTGGCCAGAAGCTTTACAAAACAAATCAAGACAGTATTTTAAAAGTCTTGCTTGCGAAGTAGTGGCTTCGGTGAATAAAATCGTCCTCCAAATCTCTCTGGCTCGTGAGCAGTCCCTGAGGATATGGAAAATAGACTCAGTGTGCCAACCACAAGCTTTACAGGAAGGATCCCCAGTTAGCTGCCGTCTCATTCTTTGCTCATTGGACAACAATTTACCATGAAACATAAGCCAGTAGAAGAACTTCAACTTAGGGGGAATCTTCATTTTCCAAAGAACTTTCCAAAGATGGTCAACCTCTCCAAGATCAGTAAAAAGCAATCTGTAATGAAGGCGGGGATGGGGGAAATTTTTTTTAACGGGGATGGGGATGAGAATGACATACCCACCCCCGATTCAACCCATTGCCATCCCTAGCGTGTTGGCAGTGGTGCCTTGAAGTTGAACAAAGTGTTTTTATTTAGTGAATCTTCATAGCGTTATAATTGACGCTCCAAACTTTAGGCATTATTTGCCCATATTTATAATCTTTTAAACCAAGTGGCCCACCAAGCAATGCTTTGGGCTTTGTTACGGGTGTGTTTTTAATTTCTAATTGTTAAATTTGTTACAGGAGCACCAATGAAGAGAGAGAAACTCTCATGCAACGGGGAGAGAAACTTTCTTGCTATCTCCGTTACAAGAAAGACTTTTCTTTTTTTCCAATGGAGGACGTCACTTTCTATAATTTATTATTATTTTATTTATGCCTTTCTCTTTTTTTTTTTTTTTTTTGGTAGACTAGAGGGGAAAAACCCCGAACACAACAACAACTACAAAGAAACAGGACAAATTAATCTAGCTTTCGCTACACCAGTGATATCATCAAGGAGAAGAGAACCAATCCAAGCAGGAGCTTCGTCAAAATAAAGGATGCCCAAGTCTAAGTTATAGCTCCAGTTTGCCAATTCGTTAGCCACACTATTTCCTTCTCTATAAATATGAAGGAGGGTGCAATTATCAAAGAGCTTCATGATTAGTATTTCTATCCCCCTCTTGCAGCCATTTAACTCTGGATTTCTGTTTCCAAAACAAAGCTTCTTGGTCAAGGATGAGATTGAACTCTTGCATGAGTTTACCCTCAAGCTTATGCAAGTAACCATTAGGACCATTGCACAGAGTCTTCTGGATCCCAGTAAGCCGAGCCATAAGATGAGCTTTCTTCTGATGTAAGTGCCCGAAGACAGAGGTTTTCCACTGATGCAGAGGTTTTACTAATGCACAAGACACATTTGATGGAAGGAAAAAGTGTATGTAAGACTCACATGTATGAGAGAGTTGGTTAGCAATGTAATCAATAAATGTGGTATATGTTAAATTGCCATGTAAGCAATCAAATTTCAATTTGTTATTTTACATTTGACCTTTCCCTTAGACATGCATTAATAATGATATGGAGATCTCAAATTCTTGTTCTTTTTTCTGGGTCGAGATGGAGATCTCAAATTCTTGTGGCCATGCTTTGGCTTCTTCCTCTCCAAGCTCTCTAAATAAGTGCAAGCCATATCTACTATGTCAGCTGACCATAAACTAATGCACAAAGCACCGGGGTGGAAACTGGCAGCAGAGCGCTTGGCAAAGATGAAGGTGCTTGACATTCCAACAGGAAAAGTCTCATCACACATCCCAACTCCTTTTTTATTTTCATAACCTGGATAATCCCACGGTGAGAACTGTTCTTTGTCAACCAGACGTAACCCAACCTCTTGTGCTAACTTCACAATTTTCCATTTACTGAAAGGAAATGTTGTCTTGTGTGTTACATGAATCTCTCCTACCACGGTCAGCATTTCGCATGCATTCTTGAAGAATCGCCAAACCAAATCCTGATGAAACCTGAAAATGCGCATGAATTTCATTTAGAATTCAAAATCCTCTGTTCACATTTTTGTGCTAGTGTTCCGCTGCTTATGCTCAATTCTTCATTTAATGCATGCATATATGGGTTTGTGTGAACTTACCAAATTTGGGACGATTCAGAACAAAAGGGACCGTACACGTAACCAGCGTGAGGAAAATTATAGATTATGCGATCAAAGCGTACGCTAATCAACAAATGGTGTTGGCTCATTCTGTTGACATCTACCTTATGCAATACTATGCATCCCCTGGCCTCTAATTCCTCCACATTGCTTATCGCTTCTGAATACTTCAGCATCAAAGACTCTACAATTAGCATGCAAAGGATTCAATCAGGATTCAGAAACCCTCTCGTTTAGACAAAAAGATTGCATCTTAGGACCCCTCTATCTATCATTTCACCATCGATCGATGACTCTACAATCAGCATGCAAACTATTTCAATCAGGAACCTTCCGGGTTTTTTTTATTTTCTTTTGGAAAGACAAAATCCTTGGTCCCCTCTATCTATTATTTCATCTGGGTCATTACCAAAATGTAAATTCTAAAACCAGACACAGAGCTAAATTGCAGACAGAAAAAGTAACCAAATTTAGAGTTAATTGGTTGTTTTTATTTATATTTCAAACTGGGTTGCTTGAAAACCAAGGAATTGGCCAGAAATAATGAGTAAAAATTGAAGTACTTGGTCGTTGACACAAGTCAATGGTGATCAAAAATTACCTCTGGAGTCAAGAGAAGTCGCAACCATGTTGTCAGCCAAGCCAAAAGCTCTGGCTAAGCAAACAGAAAAAGAGAAGTCACCTTCTCCCACTAAGAGTATCTTCTGATAGCTGCTGTAATGCTTAATCCTTCTCTCAGGGCTAAACACTTCCATTCTGATTTGATTCTCTGTTCTTCTTCAACTTTCCCAGAATTCCTTGACTTGCTATTTTTCTTCTCTTTGGGGACTTAAAACCATGGGGACAGAATACTCGTCGAACGCTTCGCTCGCATCATTGCCCTCGCCCTTTTGATTTGAACAGCCTATCAAATTAAAACAACATCTCTGCTTTATCATTTTTGGGCTAAACTTTAAAGTTTGGTAGTTTAAAGCTATATAGAACGATAATTCAACAAACAAAAAGGATGTACTTTTGAACATGAAAGGAAAAAAAAAAGTTGAAAGAGTTAGTGCATGAATGGAATCTGTTCGTTTCACACAATGATGTAGTAGTTGTCGGGTTTGCAAAAACTGATTTTCATTTTGAATTTTGATTTGGAAAACTAAAAGAAGTCAAGAGTGCATCTGTTTGTATTGAAAATTCTGGTCAGATTGATCGCTTCAGGCTTGTATTCATACGGTCCTTGTTTTCATTGAGAACGTTGAAGTAAATGTCTCTGTCGTTCTACTTTACCTTTATTTTAAGTCTATGTATACTTTACTTTTATCTGAAGTCAAGGTATACTTTACTTTTATTTAGTGAAAGGGAGAACTCTTGTAAATCATGTTCAATCTCCCTACTTCATTCGATGGAAGGGCAACCACGTAAATGAATGTTGCGTGGAATCAATTTGTACGAAGGCAAATTTACCTTCGTCAAAACCCTTCGAGACAATTTTGTCTTTTTGAAAATTTAAAAGCAGCCAATAGGGTTGTACTGCAGTGGTCAAGCGGTCCCCTTCCACCTCCCCCAATGTGGCACCCAGGTTCGAAACCATAGCCATAAACTAATGCTTTGGCATCTTCCTTTCTAAGCTCTCTACATAAGTGCAAGCCATATCTACAATATCAGCTGACCATAAACTAATGCTCCAAGTACCAGGGTGGAATCTGGAAGCAGCACAAGGGTAATTTTTCAGCATACATATGATTTCACTCATAAACCCTCTAATTTGAGCAGAAGTAAAAAGGTAATTTTTCAGGATTGTTATATAAATATTAGAAGCAAATACATTAATGAGGTAACTTTAATGTCCAAGTATATATCTTATAATATGGATTTTCGTAATTTTTGTTTTGAATGATAAGTTTTGTTGCTGCAAGTGCAAGAGTACACAACAACATAACTCCAAACAAAGATATTGTTTTGTACATTGAATTGAGACTCAATCAAGGACCAAGAACATTCTTGGTTGGTGATGAGTTCCAAATTAAATTCTTAATAATTTGGTTAAATTTCTTTTTCGTTTTACTTTTTTATAATTATTTTTAGTTATAGTGAACTAACGAAAATACTCTTAAACTTAACGGATATTTTAACGGAGTAAGACGTAGGTGGTGAATTGCAACACTCCACAAAGTTCAAGTGGTCAAAAATAAAAAATAAAAATTCAGGTGGTATTGACGCAATGCAGAAAAGTTCAGGTAGTATTTATGCAAAATTCCCGAAACTAAATAAATAACTTACAGAACAAGAAACAAAATAATGTACCATGATGCTGAGACATGTCAATGTTGATCTAAATACCTCTTGAGTCAAAAGAAGTTGCAACCATGTTCCTAGCTAGCAGAGCCAAATTGTCTGGCTAAGCAAAGAGCAAATTGATTTAGGGCAAAAAAAACCAATAGCTAAATAGGGTACGGAGTTTATATGTGTTTTTGGGATAAACAGGGTGGCCGGAGCCTTATGTAAAAGAGGGAGAAAAAGGAGGTGGCTAGGGTTTCTGAGAGATAATTTCTGCAGAGTTTCAGTAGGAGTTTAGACGTACCTCAACCCTTGTATGTGGCCATCCTTTTATAGAGGTCTCGGGAGCTAGGGTTTCAGAGGAATAATTCCGTAGATGGAAGGGAATATATAAAAAACTCCAATAGCGTGCAAGTTGGTAATTGAAAGGTTTCCTATTTTAATGTTCTGGTCATGTTCCATTTCCATGTTGTGTTATTTAATAAATTTTTGCCTTGCTGGAAAACCAGTAATGTTTCAACTCTACTGATGCATTAAACAGAAAACAATTCGGCTTACGAAATTCACTTGCTTAAACATTACAGGGTTCAAAATCACAACAAACTTCAAATAAACTAAAACAAAGCATGATGTGGCCTAGAGCATCAACCATGGACTACTAGTACTCTCGAACCGCTGAGGAGGAAACTGGAAGCAGTACGGAGGGTACTTGGAAAATTTGAAGGTGCTAGACTTTCCAACAGGAAAAGTTTGGTCACATATCCTAGCCCCTCTCTTATTCTGATAACCTGGATAATTCCATAATGAGAAACTCTCTTCATTGACCAAAAATAGCCCAGCCTCTAGCGCTAACGTCACTATGTTCCATTCACTGAATGGATATGTTGTCTTGTGTGTCACATGAACTTCTCCTGTTTCGGTCAGCATTTCTCGAGCACTCTTGAAGTATGCCCGTACCAAATTCTGATGTGACCTGAAAATCCATGGTTTTAATGCAATTGATCATAGCACTCTTTTATTTCAAAAGAAATATAATGTTGCATAAATGGATTAGTTTGTTTGAACCTACAAAATTTGGAAAATGCTAGATTCAGACGAAGAGGGACCATTCGAGTAACCAGAGTGAGGAAAATTATAGATTATGCGATCAAACCGCATATTATAAAGGAGAGGATGAAGGTTCATTGTTTTGACATCCACACAATGCAATATTGTGCATTCCCTGTCCTCTAATTCCTTTAAGTTGCTCATTGCCTTTGAATAGTTCACCATTAAAAACTCTGCAAATATAATACAGACGCATAAAGGATTTTACTACAGGAACCATTTAATTTTAATAGAAGAATAATCTTAGTTATGAAAATATATAACTTGTAATCTTGATTTGGTTTTCTTTTTCTTTTTTGTATGAAACAGTCAACGTTGATCCAATTACCTCTGGAGTCGAGAGAAGTTGCAACTATGTTGGCAGCAGAGCCAAATGCTCTAGCTAAGCAAGCTGCAAAGGAGAAGTCTCCTTCTCCCACTAAGAGTATCTTCTGATAACTGTTATAAGCCTTGCTATATTCAATAGTACTTGTATATTTTGGCATAATCCAAGTAACATCACTGTAAATAATGGGTTCAGTCATATGTCAGATTTCAAAATGATGCACACTTTCACTACCTATTATGGTAAGTGATTCAATGAAGGGACATTATAGCTCATTTGGTGTATTAACCCTGAAAATGATTTAGGCTCACGCAAGTCGCTTGCTCATTGTAGTATTAAAAATCACAACAAATTTAAATAAAACAAAACAAAATTCATATGCTGGGGCTTACCGTTGCATTTGAGGACCATTAATTCCAGGATATCCAGACCATGGACCCGAAGCAGTAATGCCAAGGTCGAAACCGGAAGTGGTATAACTGTGTTGCTTGGAAAATTTGAAGGATATACACATTCCCACAGGAAAAGTTTGATCACAAATCCAAGCTACTCTCTTATTTTCATAAGCTGGATAATCCAATAGTGAGAAATGTTCTTCATGAACAAGATATAACCCAACCTCTTGTGCTAACTCCACTGTTTTCCATTCACTGAAAGGAAATGTTGTCTTGTGTGTCACATGAATTTCTCCTATCGCGGTAAGCATTTCGCTTGCATTCTTGAGGAATCCCCTGATCAAATCCTGATGAAACCTGAAAATGCATGAATTTCATATAGAATTCAAAATCCTCTGTTTACATTTTTGTGCTAGTGTTCTGCTTATGCTCAAAACTACAATGTTTCAATTCTTCATTTAACTATCCTTCTAATACAAATCCTAAACACTAAACCCTTTCCGCTAAAATAAACACATTATGAACCCAAAATACCGTAGTGCATATACCATGATTCTTAAAAAAATGACTACATATACGGGTTTGTGTGGACTTACCAATTTTGGAACCAGATGCATTCAGCAGAAAAGGGACCGTGCAAGTAACCGACGTGGGGAAAATTATATATTATGCGATCAAAGCGTTCACTAATTAAGAAAGGATGTTGGCTCATGCTGTGGACATCCACCTCAAGCAATACTTTGCATCCCCTGGCCTCTAATTCCATCACATTGCTCATAGCTTTTGAATAATTCAGCATCAAAGACTCTACAATTAGCATGCAAAGGATTCAATAAGGAGCCCTCTAATTTTTTTTCATAAATAAAATAAAAGATTGCATCTCTGGCCCCCTTTAACTATTACTTAACCACTAATGACTCTACAATTAGGATGCAAAGGACTTCAATCAGGATTCAGAAACCCTTTCGTTTAAACAAAAAATTAAATCTTAGGACCACTCAATCAGGAACCTTTTTTTCTTTCTTTCTGTTTTTGAAAGACAACATCTTTGGTCCCTACCAAAATGTAAATTCTAACACCAGACAAGGAGTGCATTTGCAGACAGAAAAAGTGACCAAATTTAGAGTTAATTGGTTGTTTTTATTTAAATTTCCAACTGGGTTGCTTGAAAACCAAGAAATTGGGCAGAAATAATGATTAAAAATTGAAGTACTTGGACGTTGACACAAGTCAACAGTGATCTAAAATTACCTCTGGAGTCGAGAGAAGTCGCAACCATGTTGACAGCCAAGCCAAAAGCTCTGGCTAAGCAAACGGCAAAAGAGAACGGATATGTTGTCTTGTGTGTCACATGAACTTCTCCTGTTTCAGTCAGCATTTCTCGAGCACTCTTGAAGTATGCCCGTACCAAATTCTGATGTGACCTGAAAATCCATGGTTTTAATCCAATTGATCATAGTACTCTTTTATTTCAAAGAAATATAATGTTGCATAAATGGATTAGTTTGTTTGAACCTACAAAATTTGGAAAATGCTAGATTCAGATGAAGAGGGACCATTCGAGTAACCAGAGTGAGGAAAATTATAGATTATGCGATCAAACCGCATATTATAAAGGAGAGGATGAAGGTTCATTGTTTTGACATCCACACAATGCAATATTGTGCATTCCCTGTCCTCTAATTCCTTTAAGTTGCTCATTGCTTTTGAATAGTTCACCATTAAAAACTCTGCAAATATAATACAGACGCATAAAGGATTTTACTATAGGAACCATTTAATTTTAATAGAAGAATAATCTTAGTTATGAAAATATATAACTTGTAATCTTGATTTGGTTTTCTTTTTCTTTTTTGTATGAAACAGTCAACGTTGATCCAATTACCTCTGGAGTCGAGAGAAGTTGCAACTATGTTGGCAGCAGAGCCGAATGCTCTAGCTAAGCAAGCTGCAAAGGAGAAGTCTCCTTCTCCCACTAAGAGTATCTTCTGATAACTGTTATAAGCCTTGCTATATTCAATAGTACTTGTATATTTTGGCATAATCCAAGTAACATCACTGTAAATAATGGGTTCAGTCATATGTCAGATTTCAAAATGATGCACACTTTCACTACCTATTATGGTAAGTGATTCAATGTAGGGACATTATAGCTCATTTGGTGTATTAACACTGAAAATGATTTAGGCTCACGCAAGTCGCTTGCTCATTGTAGTATTAAAAATCACAACAAATTTAAATAAAACAAAACAAAATTCATATGCTGGGGCTTACCGTTGCATTTGAGGACCATTAATTCCAGGATATCCAGACCATGGACCCGAAGCAGTAATGCCAAGGTCGAAACCGGAAGTGGTATAACTGTGTTGCTTGGAAAATTTGAAGGATATACACATTCCCACAGGAAAAGTTTGATCACAAATCCAAGCTACTCTCTTATTTTCATAAGCTGGATAATCCAATAGTGAGAAATGTTCTTCATGAACAAGATATAACCCAACCTCTTGTGCTAACTCCACTGTTTTCCATTCACTGAAAGGAAATGTTGTCTTGTGTGTCACATGAATTTCTCCTATCGCGGTAAGCATTTCGCTTGCATTCTTGAGGAATCCCCTGATCAAATCCTGATGAAACCTGAAAATGCATGAATTTCATATAGAATTCAAAATCCTCTGTTTACATTTTTGTGCTAGTGTTCTGCTTATGCTCAAAACTACAATGTTTCAATTCTTCATTTAACTATCCTTCTAATACAAATCCTAAACACTAAACCCTTTCCGCTAAAATAAACACATTATGAACCCAAAATACCGTAGTGCATATACCATGATTCTTAAAAAAATGACTACATATACGGGTTTGTGTGGACTTACCGATTTTGGAACCAGATGCATTCAGCAGAAAAGGGACCGTGCAAGTAACCGACGTGGGGAAAATTATATATTATGCGATCAAAGCGTTCACTAATTAAGAAAGGATGTTGGCTCATGCTGTGGACATCCACCTCAAGCAATACTTTGCATCCCCTGGCCTCTAATTCCATCACATTGCTCATAGCTTTTGAATAATTCAGCATCAAAGACTCTACAATTAGCATGCAAAGGATTCAATAAGGAGCCCTCTAATTTTTTTTCATAAATAAAATAAAAGATTGCATCTCTGGCCCCCTTTAACTATTACTTAACCACTAATGACTCTACAATTAGGATGCAAAGGACTTCAATCAGGATTCAGAAACCCTTTCGTTTAAACAAAAAATTAAATCTTAGGACCACTCAATCAGGAACCTTTTTTTCTTTCTTTCTGTTTTTGAAAGACAACATCTTTGGTCCCTACCAAAATGTAAATTCTAACACCAGACAAGGAGTGCATTTGCAGACAGAAAAAGTGACCAAATTTAGAGTTAATTGGTTGTTTTTATTTAAATTTCCAACTGGGTTGCTTGAAAACCAAGATATTGGGCAGAAATAATGATTGAAAATTGAAGTACTTGGACGTTGACACAAGTCAACAGTGATCTAAAATTACCTCTGGAGTCGAGAGAAGTCGCAACCATGTTGACAGCCAAGCCAAAAGCTCTGGCTAAGCAAACGGCAAAAGAGAAGTCTCCTTCTCCCAATAAGAGTATCTTCTGATAGCTGCTGTAATGCTTAATCTGTCTCTCAAAGCTAAACACTTCCATTCTTGCTCTCCAACTTTCTCAGAATTCTTTGACTTGTTAATCTTTTCCTTCTCGGGTACTTAAAACTGTTTGAACATTTTTGAGTCGGTATCGCGCAATGCTTGCACTCTTCACCCTTTTTATTTGAAAAGCTTAGGAAGATGGAAAAGTATCTGTGTGTGTCACATCAAATTAAAATAGCATCTCTACTTATCACTTTTGGCCTAAACGTTCAAGTTTAGTTTTTTTTTTTTCAAGGTACACTCTTGTTGGGTGTTTTGCATTGTATTTCATTGATTTATACTTTTAAGTATTTCATAAAACATCATTTCTGGGAAAAATCATCGAAATTCGAAATGGTTTAACCATTTAGTTAAATGATTGTAATTTTAGCGTTTTCTTCAAACACCATATTCGTTTATTTGTGAGTAAAAACTTCCATTATGCCCTCCTTTATAGGACTTCCTTTAGAAGCTGCGGCCTTCTTTTAGAAGCTGGGGATTTTTAGGTTCCTTCCTTGGGAAGCTTTGTGTCGATCAAGTCTTACTCATGTTATCAAAACAACTAAACAAGTGCCTAGCTCAGTGGAAAGAGGGCATTGACTTGCAGATAAGATGTCTTGTAATTTAAACTATCGCTTGTACTGTTTTTCTTATAAAAAAAAAGTGCAACCTTACATTACATTTTGGAAAAGCCAAAATAAAATGTGCATGCAGGTAGTAAGTACTAAGTAGTGCCTAGAACTAGAGAGAGTTTTTTCAGTGAGAGAGAAAGAAGTCTTGTAAATCTTGTTCAATCTTGTAAAAACCCTCAAAGGCCTCAACCTCAAACCTAGCTCATTCTGAGCAAACCACGTAAATGAATATTTTGTGGAAACGGTTTGTATTTCCAAAATGAAGGCAAATTTACCTTGTCAAATCCCTTGATGCACCTTAGCCTTTTTGAACCTACTTTCTCAATAAGATGACATGACATCGCACACAATTAACAAAGTGTTTTATTTAGGTAATTTGCCTCAGCCCAAGTAACTCATGTTTTATATGAAGCAAATGTTAGAGACAAAGAGCAACATAAACCATAAAATAAAATAAAAAAATCATTTGCCTAATGGTCTTAGATAGAGCAGGGATTCTAATTCAACATGAAGTATCCATCAATGGTAGTGAGGATTGTGATCTTGGAAATCTTAAAATCTTATGGAGATCTGAAATTCTTGTGGCCATGCTTTGGCTTCTTCCTTTCTAAGCTCTCTGAATAAGTGCAAGCCATATCTACTATGTCAGCTGAGCATAAACTAATGCTCAAAGCACCAGGGTGGAAACTGGAAGCAGCACAAGGGTACAAGCGCTTGGCAAATATGAAGGTGCTTGACTCTCCAACATGAAAATTTTGATCACATTTCCCAACTCCTCTCTTACTTTTGTAACCTGGATAGTCCCATGGTGAAACTCTTCTTCTTTAACCAAAAAAAAAAGCCAACCTCTTCTGTTAACTTCTCCATTTCCCAGTCAGTGAAAGGATATGAAGTCCTGTGGGTCACATCAATTTCTCCACTTCTGATCAGCATATCACTGGAACTCTTCAAGTATCCCATCACCAAATTTTAATGCAACCTGAAAATTCCAAAATGCATGACTTTAATCTAATGGACTTAGAAGATGGGCCTAGAGTCTAGGCTATTTGGGCCAGGCTGACCGGGTATATATGAAGCACGAGTGAGCTCAATTTAAATAGGTCAGCTTGTTCCGATTAGCCTGCCACCTTTAGATGTGACCATTGATCGATATAAGAAAACTTACATACATGGTTTTGCTTGAACTTACCGGATTTTGGATTTCTTCTTTTTCTAACCATTCAACTGATCGGAATGAGGAAAATTAAATATTATTCGCAGAAGTGCTGATCACATCTACTAAATTTATTCGAACATTTTCTCCGGTACTCTTTCAGCAACGATGCTGATCACATCTACTTATATAAAGAGTTGCAGGCTAGAGAGGCAACTGTTAGGCTCACCCTCAAATGTCTCACATTAAATTTCCTTGTTTTCTTTCCCAGTCTGTTTATGTTCCATGTAGCCCGTGGAATATTTTGCATCCCCTATTCTCTAATTCCCTCAAGTTTCTCAAAGCTTTTGAATACTTCACCATTAATTCCTCTACAATGAGAAGTTGCAACCATGTTGGCAGCAGAGCCAAATGCTTTGGCTAAGCAAGCTGAAAAGGAGAAGTCTCCTTCTCCCACAAAGAGTATTTTCTGGGAACTTCTGTAGTGCTTAATCCGTTTCTCGTCATAGCCAAATAGTTCCATTTTCTTCTCTTCCAACTTACTTGAAACTCATCCCAATTCTTTAACTTCTGTTCATTTTCCGGGACTAAATTTATTCGAACATTTTCTCCGGTACTCTTTCAGCAACGATGCTGATCACATCTACTTATATAAAGAGTTGCAGGCTAGAGAGGCAACTGTTAGGCTCACCCTCAAATGTCTCACATTAAATTTCCTTGTTTTCTTTCCCAGTCTGTTTATGTTCCATGTGTGCCACTGTTTATGTCCCTTGGTTGCTCGAAAACTAGACATGCTCAGTTAATATTTGCTATTCCTAATTTCTTAATTCTCTAATTACTTAAGACATTACATCTTAAAATCATCTAATCTTTAATTCTGTAATAAAAGATGGTTGAAAAAATGGAGAAGATGCTTTGTCCTGTCTCTTATACTTCAATCCCACATCGACGAGTAAAAGGGTTTATAACGCTTTATATACTTTTGCTCAACACAACAGGTCGGCCAAATTCAATAGAATCTGAAACAAAAACAAACTCAAACTCTCTTGGGTCTGGCCCTTTTTGTCTGCAACTTTATTTTTTGTCTGCAACTTCCTTTTTGGAAATTCTAATACGACTAATTTATGGATGTAATTTTTAGCTGAAACCCTTCAAAACTTGCAACTCCTAAAGTAAGACTGTAGTTCTTAAATGTTTTTCTTTCCAACTGCAATTGAGTGGGTATGTCAAAAAGATTCAACTTGGAGTAAACCCGCCCTAAATTTATAAAAATAAAAATAAAAAACTCGATCAGAACATCAGGTCGAGGCCCAAAAATAAATAAAAGAATAAAACACAAATGGCAAAAGAACTTAAAACAACATTCATTAAAACTGTTACACGTGTTGAGATTCATGCTTTTCCTGATACCTGTAGCTGTAGTATAAAATATAAAGTAAAATATGTGAGGGGGTATAGCCGCTCGGCTATACTCTTTAAAAATATATATATAGAGTATAGCCGCGCGGCTATACTATTTACATAAAAATATATTTAACTAGCATAACCGGGCGGCTCTACGTTTTAAATAAAAAATATATATTTACTCTTTAAATATTCGAATATATTTAAAATAGTATAGCCGCGCGGCTATACAGTTTTTTTTTTCCTTCTCTATATATTTCCACCGCCACCTCTAGAGCTCAACAGCTCCGAAGAATCGAGCTCTCCTCTGCCCCCACCTCTTCTGTCACTGCTCAAGAGCCCCAATTCCGTTGGTAACTACTAATTGCAATCAATTTTCTGCCCCCACCTCTTCTCTCTTTTTGCACCAAATTCTCTAATGCTCAGTTCATTACCAAATTCTCTAATTGACTACTTATAGTTTCATTAGCAAATGCCATGACTTTGAGAGCTTAGAGCCTTTAGAGGCTTTACACCCTTGATTAATTGTATACTTGCAGTTTATATACCACCAGAACCAAGGAAAGAGATGGCCTTATTTTTGAACAAGCTAGCTTCTCTGGTGCCTGGTCTCCATGCTGTCGACGTTGACGTCCTTCTCGAGATTTTGCGCAAGGATGAGCACAAGCTTGAACAGGTTGGTTTGGGTAGAGAGTTCCATACAAGTCTGGGAACAACTGTACCAATCCGAGTGCACCTGGTTGACTCCCTGCTCACAGTGCTTTGGCAGAAGCTTCAGATTCAGAGGCGGTATGATTTGCTTTAGAGGCTTTACACCCTTGATTAATTGTATACTTGCAGTTTATATACCACCAGAACCAAGGAAAGAGATGGCCTTATTTTTGAACAAGCTAGCTTCTCTGGTGCCTGGTCTCCATGCTGTCGACGTTGACGTCCTTCTCGAGATTTTGCGCAAGGATGAGCACAAGCTTGAACAGGTTGGTTTGGGTAGAGAGTTCCATACAAGTCTGGGAACAACTGTACCAATCCGAGTGCACCTGGTTGACTCCCTGCTCACAGTGCTTTGGCAGAAGCTTCAGATTCAGAGGCGGTATGGTTATTCTATTACATGCATGAATTTTACTTATTTTATTGAACATAATGCTGATTTGCCGTAAACCATTTCCCATTTTTTTGGTTTCTAACACATTTTGGTATTGTGAAACAGGTATTGGTATTGGATTGATTTTAGCAAGTGGGATGTTTTTGTTAACAATGATCGCTGCTGGGTTAGCTGAGGTATGATTGCAAGCTTTCTCTTTATACAACTTACAAGTCTTGTTGTTTTGAGTTTTTTATTTAGAAGTAAAATTTTGTAACTAGTTAGCCAAAAACATAGGTGAGATTTTTCAACTTCAATCATTTTAGATGTCTAATCATATTCTTGAACAGTTAGTACATATTCAGGGGAGGATATATGTATGGCAAAGAGGTTTAAAGTGGTAAAGGGGGCAACTATTGACGGCAATGCACTTCTTCTAATCAAAGGGATCGATCCGAGGGTCATGTTCGCTTGCCTCAAACACCTGAAGCAGCTAGTCCTCAATATGTATGTATGATGAGCCAAATACACTTATGTGGCAACAGGGAAAGGATTTTAATTAGGCAACAAACATGACATTTTCAATCTCTAACCTTTCCCGCTCCAGAGCAATTTGAACATCTTTCCGCTTTTGTTTGCTGTGTTTTTTTTTTTACAAATTTATAAATAAACCCAATCCTAGACATGTATTTATAAAAAAACCAAAACACTATTTAAACATAGAAACACATCCAAAATCAACCCCAAAATTAACAATTGTATATTTTTGGGGTGTGTTTATAAATGAGTTTTGAGTGTGTGTAATGATGGGTTTTTGGTGTGTTTATAAAGTGTTTTTGTTCAAGAAAAGCATTGGCTCTAGTATTTATGGATGTAATTTTTTAGCTGAAACCCTTCAAAACTTGAAGGAAATTCTTAATTGCAACTCCTAAAGTAAGATTGTAGTTCTTAAATGTTTTTCTTTCCAACTGCAATTGAGTGGGGATGTCAAAAAGATTCAAACTTGAGGTAAACCCACCCTAAATTTATAAAAATAAAAATAAAACACTCAATCGGAACATGAGGTCAAGGCCCGAAAATAAATAAAAGAATAAAACACAAAAGGCAAAAGAACTTAAAACAACATTCATTAAAACTGTTAGATGAAACAATGCCGAGATTCATGCTTTTCCTAATACCTGTAGCTGTAGTTTAAAATACAAAGTAAAATATGTCAAAGATGTATTATATGATTTACTTCATTCACATTCACACTAGGGCAAGTAAGCGTGACCTGCCTCCGGTCAAGGATTGCTACGTACCCTGCATCTGACTGGTTAGAGCAGGGAAAGGTTAAATACCATACCTTAGATCCAGCAGGAAGAGCTGTGGGTGTCACCATTCTTTCGTTGCCAATTGCATCGCTTCATGTTTTTTTTTTATAACAGAATTAGATGCAGCTTCCACAATTAGATTAAGTCTAATTTGAATCATAAAGTTATATCAAATTTCATATACGCCCATAAAGTAAAACTTGTTTCTAAAAATCGCCAATTTCCCATAATAATAAACAAGAAACTATGAATGACATGAGATAACATAACATATAGCAGTCAAGTGCAAAGCAAACCTCTTTGTGATTTGGAAAATCTGTACGAAAGGAATCAAATCCAGAAATGACTGCTCCATTGAAACTGAAAATGGACTGCAGCAGGATATATATGCTATTTAATGTAGAACAGCTAAGGAGCTTGATTAGATTGAACTCAGAAAGAGAGAGAGAGAGAGAGAGAGAGAGAGAGAGAGAGCATAGCTGAAACTCATCATCACCAACAATGGTTATGTACTTGAGATGTGCATTTCTCTGAAAATAAATTTAAAGAGTACATTCGTTCGGCTATACCCTTTAAATAAAAAATAGGGTAATTTAGAGTTTGATACATCAAATTTTTTTCATCTCAATCGCATACACAAAGTTGATTTTCTTACAACTTTCATACATATCGTTAGTTTTTCTGTTACCAAGTCTATTAACTACTGACGTGGCCACTCATATGATACCACGTGATCCATATATAATATTAAATAAATAAATAAACATTACTTAATTAATTTAAAAACTTAAAATTAAAAATCCCTCTCTCTCTCTCTCTCTCAGCTTTCTCTCTCCCTCTCTCCTTGCTCTCTCTCCCCCCGCGGCCCCCATCAAACCCACACCCCAAAGCCCAATGCCACCATACAACCACCATCATCCCCACCCGAGATCCACCCCTAGCCCCACCCAATACCCATCCAGATCCTCTTTCTCTCTCTGCAAATTCAAAATTTGAAAAGAAATTTTTTTTTTCAAACACTTTGCATCTTTGGGGCGTCAAGAGGGGGGTTGTGGGTGGGTTGGGCTATAAGGTTTTGAGGGGGTGGGAGCAGGAGGAGGAGGTCTTGTGGGTGGTCAGGGGGAAAGAGAAGTTTTTGGGTGTCTTGAGAAGGGTTGGCTGGGGTTCTGGATTCGATGGGAAAGCAAAGAGAGAGCGCAAGTTGGCTAGGGTTCTGGGTTCGATAGGAGAGAGAGAAAGAAAGGGATTTTAACAAGTATAGCTCTTTAAATATAAAAAGAGATATTTAGTCATATACGAATTCTTAGCACTAAAACGATAAATAAACCCTACACCATTTTATTTCTATAAACAAACCCAAAAAAAACCCCAAAAAAATGATAGCTGGCCCTATTGAATTTAGTTTTGATTATTAAATTACTTTGATGACCTATTGAGTGTTTTGAGCTTTTTTTATGAGGTTTTGGGGTTGGGTTTGTTTTAAGAAATCAATGAAAGTTTTGTAATTTAAAAGAAGTTAAAAGCCTTTTTGTTATGTTGTAAATGGGCTTTGGGTGTGTTTTTAAAGTCCATTTCATATTATGTTTTTTTATAATTTGGGCTCCTATATTGGGTATAATAGTGAATCTCATATATTAAAAAACATATTTAAAGACCGGCTATACTATTTAAATAAGAAAAATATATTTAAACAGTACAGTCGCTCGGCTATATAGAGAGAGAGAGAGAGAGAGAGAGAGAGTATAGCCGCACCCTTTAAATAAAATAAATATATTTCAAAAGTATAGCCGCGCAGCTATACTCTTTAAATAAAAAAATATATTTAACGCGAATAGCCGTGCGGCTATACCCTTCAAATATTCGAATATATTTAAACAGTATAGCGCGGCTATACTCGGTATACTAGTTAAATATGTTTTTGACCAAAAAAAAAGTTAAATATGTTTTTTATTTAAAGGGTATAACTGCACGGCTATACGCTTGCAGTTAAAACTATATTCAAAGAGTACAGCAGCGCGGCAATACTATTTAAATAAATATATATATATTTAAAGAGAATAGCCATGCATATTTCCACCGCCACCTCCAGCTCTCAACAGTCCCGAAGAATTGAACTCTCCTCTGCCCCCACTTCCTCTGTCACTGCGCAGCAGCCCCAATTCCGTTGGTAACTACTAATTGCAATCAATTTTCAATCTTTTGCATGAATTTTACTCATGACTCGGAAAAAAAAGAATTCACAATATTGGATGTTGTTCATGGCAGGATCTAGGCCCTCATAACTCGGAAAAACAGAGGCCTAAAGTCCATCATTATCAGGGAACCAATTGATTCAGTACGCGCGCCTCGCCTAACCTCATCACTATTGAATTTTATTTTAATGGCAAAGTTGCACAAGTGAAGAAAACTTTTCAGTTGCGTTCAGATGGCTAATTATATTCTTGAACAGTTAGTATATAATATATACAGAAGTCCCTTCCCTTGGTTATGTCACAATTCAGGGGAGGATATATGTAAGGCAAAGAGGTTTAAAGTGGTAAAGGGGGCAACTATTGACGGCAATGCACTTCTTCTAATCAAGGGATCGATCCGAGGGTCATGTTCGCTTGCCATCGCCATTCCAGATCACAGAGTGTTAAATACAGTATACATATATCAGTCCTCAAACACCTGAAGCAGCTAGTCCTCGATATGTATGTATGATGAGCCAAATACACTTATGTGGCAACAGGAAAAGGATAGGCAATAAACATGACATTTTAAATCTCTATTACTCAATTGAATACTGCGTTTACATATTGCATGGAATGGTTTAAAAGTTAAAAAACCATACATATGAAAATGAAAGTGTGTATAATTCATTCTGGAACTTCCACGAACCTTTGCACATTTCATTGCGAATATAAAACTTGATAGGCCTACTTTCTAGCTGAAGATGCACCCTAGATTTAGCTATATTCAGATAATCCAAACAAAGTAGTTGACATGCAAACAATGGTAATGTATGTTGAGACATGTCAATGTTGATCAAAATACCTCCGGAGTCAAGAGAAGTTGCAACAATGTTCCTAGCAGAGCCAGATTGTCTGGCTAAGCAAAGTGCAAAAGAGAAGTCTCCTTATCGCACTAAGAGTATCTTCTGAAAGCTGCTGTAATGCTTAATCTTCATTTCTTTCACCAAACACTACTGCTTGGAAAATAAACACTCTGAGTTTGAGTAAACAAAGCATGTCAATGTTGATCTAAATACCTCTGTACTCGAAGGAGGAAACTGGAAGCAGTAGAACGGTACAACTGCTTGGAAAATTTGAAGGTGCTGCACTTTCCAACGGGAAAAGTTTTAGGCATAGAAACAAGGGGACTCATGCTTGAATGAAAAACCCCATGCCTATCAAACAAAAAAGATATTGATACTATTCCTCACCAGCAGTAGAGATCACTTCATATGCAAAATGGCCTGCAAGAAAAAAACAAGAGTAAGATATTTTGGAGCACTAAATCAAGTTAATGTTGAAGATGTAAAAGTGGAAGTTTAAAGTTTTCCATAAATGAGACTGGGATATTGGAGCACTTGGAGATTTCTTACGTGCTTATTTTCTTTCAACAAGTTAAGCAAGCACATGAGAAAATTCAAGAGCTCTACCCGTTGAACTATAAGCCTTGCTAATTCAAATGTACTTGTAACATCACTGTAAATAAGGGGTACAGTCATGTGCTATGGTGAGTGTTTCAATGAAACATAAGCTCATTCTCATTCGGCGTATTAGCCCTGAAAAAGATTTAGGCTCACGCAAGGCGCTTGCTCATTGTAGTATTAAAAATCACAACAAATTTAAATTAAAGAAAACAAAGTTCATATGCAGGGGCTTACCGTTGCATGTGAGGACCATTAATTCCAGAATATCCAGACCATGGACCCAAAGTAGTAATGCCAAGGTGGAAACCAGAAGTGGTAGAATGGCACAACAGCTTGGCAAATTTAAAGGTGCTACACATTCCAACAGGAAAAGTTTGATCACACATCCCAGATCCTCTCATATTTTCATAACCTGGATAATCCCATAACGAGAACTGTTCTTCATGAACCAGATATAACCCAACCTTTTGTGCTAACTCCACTATTTTCCATTCACTGAAAGGAAATGTTGTCTTGTGTGTCACATGAATTTCTCCTATCGCGGTCAGCATTTCGCTTGCATTCTGGAGGAATCCCCTGATCAAATCCTGATGAAACCTGAAAATGCTTGAATTTCATTTAGAATTCAAAATCCTCTGTTTACAATTTTTTTTTTTGCGAGTGTTCTGGTTATGCTCAAAACTACATTGTTTCAGTTCTTCAATAAGGAACACATTATGAACCCAAAATATCATAGAGCATATACCATGATCTTTAAAGGGGATGCATATATGGATTTGTTTTAAGTTCTTACCAAATTTGGAACCTGTTGTGTTCAGAAGAAAAGGGACCATGCAAGTAACCGGCGTGAGGAAAATTATAGATTATGTGATCAAAGCGTACGCTAATCAACAAAGGGTGTCGGCTCATGCTGTGGACATCCACCTCATGCAATATTATGCATCCCCTGGCCTCTAATTCCTTCACATTGCTCATAGCTTCTGAATACTTCAGCATCAAAGACTCTACAATTAGCATGCGAAAGATTCAATAAGGAACCCTCTAATTTTTTTTTTATAAAATAAAAGATTGGATCTTTGGGCCCCTTTATCTATTACTTAACCATTAATGACCCTACGATTAGGATGAAAAGGATTTCAATCAGAATTCAGAAACCCTCTATCTATCATTTCATCATCAAAGACTCTACAATCAGCATGCAAACTATTTCAATCAGGAACCTTCTAGGATTTTCTATTTGAAAGACAACATCTTTAGTCCCCTATCTATTATTTCCTTTGGGTCATTGCCAAAATGTAAACTCTAGGACCAAACACAAAACCAGTTGGTTGTTTTTATTCAAATTTCAAACGGGGTTGCTTGAAAATGAAGGAATTGGGCATAAATAATGAGTAAAAGTGGACTTACTTGGACGTTGACACAAGTCAATGGTGATTCAAAAGTTACCTCTGGAGTCGAGAGAAGTCGCAACCATGTTGACAGCTGATCCAAAAGCTCTGGCTAAGCAAACAGCAAAAGAGAAGTCTCCTTCTCCCACTAAGAGTATCTTCTGATAGCTGCTGTAATACTTAATCTTTCTCTCAACGCTATACACTTCCATTGTGATTTGGTTCTCTCTTCTTCTTCTTCAACTTTCTCAGAATTCCTTGACTTGCAATTATTTTTCTCTTTTGGGACTTCAAAGAGTATGAACTTTTTTGAGTCGGTATTAATACTCGTCGAACGCTTACACTCCCGTCTTAGGCCTCGGCCTTTTGATTTGAAAAGCATATCAAATTAAAACAACTTTGAAAGTTTGGTATTAAGGGAAAAAAAAGAAGTTCATTTTTCCTCTTTTAAAGTTTGGTATTAAGGGAAAATTGTGTTGGAAATCCCTCCTTAGTGGAGTCAAGATGTGCGCCTGTTATTTTTCACCTTTCAAAGCACATGGATGCATATATGGGATATGCATGCATGATCAATAATTGGTGGTTGTAAAGGAAGACAAAAATAGGGGAGCTGCACCTGCTTTCGGTGCCTTGGGTTCCCTCCTTAGTGGAGGAATATTTTTTTGTCTTGAATGATGATCCCATTGGTGGGAGACAATGCATGGTGCAATGACAGGGGAGCTTTTTGACCGGCCATCATTGTGGCTTCCTTGGGCATGCGGCCGGTTTCTTTGGCTTGCACGTGGGATGATTTTTTGAGAGAAAAATCAGCACCTCTTGTTTTATGCAAATGAGAAATCGTTATGGAGACATAATGATTTATGTGGGATCCACCATCATCATGGTTGGGATTGTTTTTCTTTTACATGTGATGTATCAAAGGCATGGGTGAGTTTGTGAAGAGGTGTGTGCAGAGGTGCACCAAAGTCATGAGATAGAGAGATGTGCGGGTGTGCTTGAGCCGCACCAAGAAAAGGCACCAGAGAGAGCACGGCAGAGAGGTTGAGTGGGTTGCTTGTGAGATGCAAGCAAGCAGTCTATAAACTCCTGGAGGATGTTTCAGCTGGGAGTTAGCTGGGTTCATCAAAAGGTTCAAGGGAGGATATATCATTTGGGGAGTGACAGTGAGTTTTGGGAAATATTGTGAGTGGGTGTACAAGGGACTCGGATTTGGGTATAAAATTCTTGAGTGTTATATTGGGTTTTTTTTTTTTTTTTTTTTTCGCCAAACGATGGAAGTTGATTGATAGAACAGAATACAAGAGCACAAAGGCACTACAATACGTAGCCCATACAAAAGAGCACAAAGGTCCTACGATACGTAGCCCATACAAAAACCACTACAGGAATCATACAGGATACAGGGGTACATTGAAATTGTCTTCTATGGCACCACCCCAATGCATCACCCAACGGGAAAAAAAGTAACAAAAGTTACTCCAGAACTTTTGTTACAAATGAAAGTTAAGTTGAGGAACTTTAGAAGCCATTTTGAAAGTTGAGGAACTAAAGCTTAAGTGAGTATAAAGTTCAAGGACCGCTCCTAAAAAAGCTTTTTTTATTTATAATATTTTGAGAATACATATTTATAATGCTTGAAATACATTAGATAAATAAGAACCAATTTGTCATCATCAAAACAATTACAATGCTTTCCAATTCCTAGAGGCCTCTCTCTATTTTTTTTAATTTTTTTTTTGGTGAGCAAAATTGTGGCAAAGTGTGCAACCACTCCGAGCCGAGACTATTTACAATAAAGCTCTCCCCAGGGGGTGTTTTTCACAAGTTGAGTTTCGAACACTGGACCTCACAGAGTATCCAGCTAACATTCGCCCAACTTGCAGGAACTAGCAAGTATTTCCGCTAGACCAAACCCCTTGGGTAGAGGCCTCCCTATTTTAGGAGGTGGATAGGGAGCATGGTTAGAGTTGTATTTTTCCAATTCCTCCCTAAAATTTGTTTAATGAGGTGATTTAGGGAGGCCATTGTGGATGCTCCTTGAGGTCTCCCTCAAATTTTTGTTCTTTTTTTTGGATGCTCCTAGTAAAAATTTGTTTATTTTTTTTTTGTATAAATATTTATGAATAAAGAGTTGAAAAACATACAGGTTTTTTTTTTGTCAAACTAAAAATATATAGGTTGAAATACAATATTTAGGGAAATAGTTTTGAAATTCAACAAAAAAAAAAACATGTGTTTTGACCGATTTAATTATGGTAATTATTTTCCTAATTTGCGCCTTCTTTTAGACTTCCTTTACTCATATTATCAAACCAACTAAACAAGTGCAGCCTTACATTTTGGCAAATCCGAAATAAAATGTGCGTGCAGGGTAGTGAATACTAAGCAAAATCTAAAATATTGGAGGTTTGGGAAATATCGGTGGTTCAAAGACATGGAAATATGGATGAAAATATTGGGAAAATATCGATATTGGTAAAATTGGATAAAAACCATGAAAATTGTAAGAAAAACTTGTAAATTTTGATTGAAACTTTAGAGGATGTTTATTTAGTCAATTATCTATTATTTTATCATAAAATATTGGAAGGAAATGCATTGCATGGTGGGTTTGGCTGATTTAAGTTGATTATATATCGAGTTGACAAACACTGTGAGTGTAGAAAATATGTAGTAATTAATGAAAGAATATTAAACACACCATGAATAAAGAGTTGAAAAACATACAGGTTTTTTTTTGGTCAAACTAAAAATATATAAGTTGAAATACAATATTTAGAAAAAGGCTCTTTTAAAGTTATATAGAAAGATAATTAATAGCAATATAAAAGGAAATAGTTTTGAAATTCAACAAAAAAAAACATGTGTTTTGACCGATTTAATTATGGTAATTATTTTCCTAATTTGCGCCTTCTTTTAGACTTCCTTTACTCATATTATCAAACCAACTAAACAAGTGCAGCCTTACATTTTGGCAAATCCGAAATAAAATGTGCGTGCAGGGTAGTGAATACTAAGCAAAATCTAAAATATTGGAGGTTTGGGAAATATCGGTGGTTCAAAGACATGGAAATATGGATGAAAATATTGGGAAAATATCGATATTGGTAAAATTGGATAAAAACCATGAAAATTGTAAGAAAAACTTGTAAATTTTGATTGAAACTTTAGAGGATGTTTATTTAGTCAATTATCTATTATTTTATCATAAAATATTGGAAGGAAATGCATTGCATGGTGGGTTTGGCTGATTTAAGTTGATTATATATCGAGTTGACAAACACTGTGAGTGTAGAAAATATGTAGTAATTAATGAAAGAATATTAAACACACCATATAATCATTTATTTATAATGATTTACTACAATATTTTACACTTTATACGTTGCATGGTAAGATACATGAGTGACTTAGTACCACATAGAGTTCCATGAGATTCAAAATTTTCATTGTCTTCATCATTTCTATGTGTAGAGTATGTGTACTATGAAGAGTAGTCATCAAATGATAAATCCTCAAAATAGTTTTGCATGTAATTATAACATGTCACCCATATGGATTCGAGATTGGTTGACGTTGCCTATAAACAAAATCATTTGAAGATTGGGTCTCAGATTCTTTCCATGAGCTGCTCAATTCCATCCCAAAAGGCATCGAATCACCTTGTGTGCGCACATGCGACTGGGGTTTTTTTCTTTTTTCTTTTTTCATTCCATGTACATATATCCTGATATTTTCGATATTATAATATTCTGATATTTTGTCCATATGTTGATGAAGAGAGAGCGAAATCGTCGGATATGAAATTTCCCCAATATTATCACTAAAATTATCAATACTTATATGGTAATTGCATGAATAGATTTCAAAATATTCTCTTCCTGAAAAAACAATAATATCCTCTATATTCGTGGATATTATGCCGAAAAAGGAAACCACCCTCTATATTCGTGGATATTATGCCAAAAAAGGAAACTACGTGTAAATGAATATTTTGTGGAAACGGTTTGTATTTCCAAAATTGAGGCAAATTACTTTGTCAAATCCCGTGCTGCAACTTTGCCTTTTTATAAAGGTAATAGCAAATGGACAATACTAGGTTCCACCACCTACTTTCTCAAAAAAATGACATGACATTGACATATATTGCACACAATTAATAAAGTGTTTTCTTTAGGGCATTTGCCTCAGCCCAAATGTTTTCTTCCTTTCTAAGCTCTCTAAATAAGTGCAGGACATCTACAATGTCTGCTCACCATAAACTAATGCTCAAAGCACCAGGGTGGAAACTTTAAGCAGCACTAGGGTGCCACTGGTTGGAGATGCTATTACATTTTATAAAATCGGAATAAAATGTGCGTGTAGTAGGGATGATAATTTTCTTCGTGTATAAGACTCTTCGTGGGGTTTCGACCCTAATGGGTTAGGTATGAAAGATAAAAAACAGGTATATGGGGATGGGTTCGGGAAATTTTTTAGGTATGGTGTTTGGGGAAGGACTGGGATGGTATTCTGATCCCCGACCCGAACCCTTCCCATTTAGAATATATATAAAATTTAGTTTTCATATAAATATATTAGTAAGATGTGTGATGGTGATGCTACCTCTATAATGATGATCATGTCTTTGAAATGTAGTTTTGACATGTATTACTTTTTTTAAAAAATAGTCTAGAATTTTAGTTAATAGTGTTCTTTTCATGTACAACAAACTAGCTTTTTATTGTTTTTTTTTTTTTCCGTAATAGGTAGGGTCGGAAACCCATTCCCTAGCAAAGGCAGGGATGTGGAATCCACAATTTGAATATTGCGGGTATGAAGGCGGGGATGGGGATGAGAATCACATGTCCACCCCCGATTTGACCCATTGCCATCCCTAGCGTGTAGGCAATGGTGCCTTGAAGTTGAACAGAGTGTTTTTATTTAGTGAATCTTCATAGCGTTATAATTGACACTCCAAATGTCAAATTCAGAGAGACGGGCCAGCGGTCCACTACTAACAACACTGATATTGTCCGCAACTTAACCACTTACAAAGCCCAGTAGATGTGGGGTTTTATCATAAAAGGCCTTGGTGATATTATTTAGTCAAGTTTCCGATGTGGGACTTATATTCTTCAACACCAAACTTTAGGCGTTATTTGCCCATATTTATAATCTTTTAAACCAAATGGCCCACCAAGCAATGCTTTGGGCTTTGTTACAGGTGTGTTTTTCATTTTTAATTGTTAAATTTGTTATAGGAGCACCAACGAAGAGAGAAACTCTCATGCAACGGAGAGAGAAACTTTCTTGCTATCTCCATTACAAGAAAGTTTTTTTTTTTCCAATGGAGGACTTCACTTTCTATAATTTATTATTATTTATTTATGCCTTTCTCTTTTTCCAATTAAATACAAGACACATTTGACGGAAGGAAAAAGTGTATAAGACTCTCATGTATGAGAGAGTTAGTCAACAATGTGATCAGTAAATGTGGTATATGTTAAATTGCCATGTAAGCCATCAAATTTCAATTTGTTATTTTACATTTGACCTTTCCCTTAGACATGCATTAATAATTAATGATATGGAGATCTCAAATTCTTGTTCTTTTTTCTGGGTCGAGATGGAGATCTCAAATTCTTGTGGCCATGCTTTGGCTTCTTCCTCTCCAAGCTCTCTAAATAAGTGCAAGCCATATCTACTATGTCAGCTGACCATAAACTAATGCTCAAAGTACCAGGGTGGAAACTGCAAATAATGGGTACAGTACAGTCATATGCCAGATTTCAAAATGAAACATTAGCTCATTTGGTGTATAATTAACCTTGAAAACGATTTAGGCTCAAGCAAGTCACTTGCTTGCTCGTTGAAGTATTAAAAATCACCACAAATTTCAATAAAAGAAAACAAAATTCATATGCTGGGGCTTACCATTGCATGTGAGGACCGTTAATTCCAGAATATCCAGACCATTGACCCGAAGCAGTAATGCCAAGGTCGAAACCAGAAGTGGTTGAACTGTACAACAACAGCTTGGAAAATTTGAAGGTGCTACACATTCCAACAGGAAAAGTTTCGTCACACATCCCAGCTCCTCTCTTATTTTCATAACCTGGATAATCCCATAGTGAGAACTGTTCTTCATGAACCAGATATAACCCCACCTCTTGTGCTAACTCCACTATTTTCCATTCACTGAAAGGAAATGTTGTCTTGTGTGTCACATGAATTTCTCCCATCAGCTTCAGCATTTCACGTGCATTCTTGAGGAATCCCCTGATCAAATCCTGATGAAACCTGAAAATGCATGAATTTCATTTAATATTCAAAATCCTCTGTTTACATTTTTGTGCTAGTGTTCTGCTTATGCTCAAAACTACATTGTTCCAATTGTTCATTTAATTATGTTTCGAATATAAATCCTAAACACTAAACCCTTTCCCCCTAATATAAACACATTATGAACACAAAATACCATAGAGCATATACCATGATTCTTAAAAAAGGGCTGCATATATGGGTTTGTATGGACTTACCAAATTTGGAACATGTTGTATTCAGAAGAAAAGGGACCATGCAAGTAACCCGCGTGAGGAAAATTATAGATTATGCGATCAAAGCGTACGCTAATCAAGAAAGGGTGTTGGCTCATGCTGTGGACATCCACCTCATGCAGTACTTTGCATCCCCTGGCCTCTAACTCCTTCACATTGCTCATAGCTTTTGAATAATTCAGCATCAAAGACTCTACAATTAGCATGCAATGCAAAGGATTCAATAAGGAACCTTCCGAGGGTTTTTTTTTTTGTTTTTGAAAGACAACATCTTTGGTTCCCTCTATCTATTATTTCCTTTGGGTCATTACCAAAATGTAAATTCTAAAACCAGGCACAGTTAAATTGCAGATATAAAAAGTAACCAAATTTAGAGTTAGTTGGTTTGTTTATATTTAAATTTCAAATTGGGTTGCTTGAAAACCAAGGAAATGGACAGAAATAAAGAGTAAAAATTGAAGTACTTGGACGTTGACGCAAGTCAATGGTAATCTAAATTACCTCTGGAGTCAAGAGAAGTCGCAACCATGTTGACAGCCAAGCCAAAAGCTCTAGCTAAGCAAACAGAAAAAGAGAAGTCTCCTTCTCCCGCTAAGAGTATCTTCTGATAGCTGTTGTAATGCTTAATCTTTTTCTCAAAGATAAACACTTCCATTCTGATTTGATTCTCTCTTCTTCTTCAACTTTCCCAGAATTCCTTTTTTTTTTTTTTTTTTTTCTCTTTTGGGACTTAAAAACAGTTTGAGTCAGTATTAATACTCGTCGAACGCTTACAAATTAAAACATCATCTCTACTTTATCATTTTTGGTATTTTAAAGCTATATAAAACGATAATTCAACAATAACAGAAAAGGATGTGCTTTTGAACTTGAAGGGGAAAAAAATATTCAAAGAGTTAGTGCATGGAAGGAACCTGCTCGTTTCGCACAATGATGTAGTAGTGGTTGGGTTTGCAAAAACTGATTTGCATTTTGATTTTTGATTTGGAAAACTAAAAGAAGTTAGGCGCTTTCCATAGGTGGAATCTTCTAAGAGTGCATCTGTTTGTATTGAAAAATCTGGTCAGATTGATTGCTTCGGGTTTGTGTTCATGCTGCCCTTATTTTTATTGAAAACGTTGAGTAAATGTCTTTATCGTACTTTACTTATATTTTAAGTTATACTTTACTTTTAGGCAGCCTTACTTTTATTTAGTGAAAGATATAACTCTTGTAAAAAATGTTCAATCTCCTACTTCATTCGGTGGAATCCCCTAAGGGGGCAACCACGTAAATGAATGTTGTGGGGAATCAATTTGTAATGAATGTTGTGTGGAATCAATTTGTATCCCCAACACGAAGGGAAATTTATCTTGTCAAAACCCTTAGGCCCCGTTTGGTTCATGGGAAAGAAGACTTGGGGATGAAAAATCAATTACTTTCCCATGTTTGGTAAGTTTAGGCATGGGAAATCGTTGCCTGGCCCATGGGAAAGTTGTTGAAGTGAGTCTCCTAATTAATCAAGAAGATTTATTTCCTTGATTAATTAAGGGATTTACTTTCCTATTTTATAGAT